TTTTGCTCATATCCAGTCTAAACCTCCCCTGGTGCAACTTGAAGCCTTTTCCTCTTGTCCTATCACTTGTTACTTGGGAGAAGAGACTGACAACACCCACCTCACTACAACCTCCTTTCAGGTAGTTGTAGAGAGCAGTAAGGTCCCTCCCTCAGCCTTGTTTTCTCCAGACTAAACAACTGTAGTTCCCTCAGCTGTTCATAAGACTTGCTCTCTAGACCCTTCACCGGCTTTTTTGCTCTTCTTTGGATACACTCTAACAGAAGCTGCCAGGGATACAAGAATGGTACCTTTGGTATGGCCTTGGATTAAATGCAAGACTAACTGCCGGGCAGGTTGAGATTATGAAGTCCTCTGCCAAGTCTGCGCGAGTAATAGTATTGATAGAACTACAGTAAGAAAGACAAGACCTCAAGATCTTAAAAGTGGAATGAAGAAGAATAAAATCCAAGTGTGTTGATGATTTTTTGACATTATTCTTGTCTGGTGGCAAGCTCTAGGAAGCAGGAGACCTGAGTAGCCAGAGGGAGTGTGTTGTTGCTTTGAAGCAAACTGCCATGGTTTTCAGGAAGTGGTGTTTCTAGGAAGGAGATGCAAAGGAGGGCTCGGCAAATGGGTCAGTGTTATGTCTGTCAAGTAATGGAGGTAACATCCCTGATTTGGATGCTAGCATAAGGTAACACTGGAAGGGAAAGTGCTAAAGAAAAAAAAAAAATCTATCTAACCTTATGTTGTTCATAAATGGAAGTTGCTGTCTCCTGCCCCCCATCCCCCGAATTGTGCACCAAATTTGGTGGTTTATATGTCAATGACTACACAATGAATACCAAAGATTTTAATTGAAAACAGATTTGATAATATCAGCATGATTGAAAACCGTTGGGATAATTGTATTAAAGGACTATAAAGTAACTTTGAACCATGGGAAATGGGGTATTGGATAAGTGGGGATCATTATGCTAACAGTGAAGTGTAGGTTTTGGATCCAGTGCAGTTCCATTAGAAACCATTGGAGTAAATGTGATGTGTTCAGTACCCTCATAAGCATATGTCTAAAGGTATTTTGAGGATTTTGTCTGAGAGGTCTTATGCAGCCAGTTCTGACATGAAGGGTGTTGTCTCTTGTGCTTTGATATTTTAATTTTGGATCTTCTTTGATGTTTGGCTCATGGGATATGCTTATGATACAGACATGAATTACAAGATTGGAAGTTGTTAATAGACTAATGACCCCATGATCATGATGGGTTTAACATCAGCATGAGCAAATGGTGTCCTGACTGCTAACAGATGCATTTGATGTTTCACAAGGATTTCACTAGGACTAACTCGCTTCCCAAAAGCTGAAGGGGGTGAAAATGAGCAGCAGTTCTTGAGAGCAGGCAGAAAGTGCTGGAAAGTGAGATTTTTTTTTTTTGTCATTTAAAAAAAAAAACAACCACCACCACCCAAAAAAAATCCTAAACAAAAAAACCCCACAAACAAAAAACCTCTGAAATATAGTCTAGAATGAGGAAGAATGAGGATGAACTTAAAAGGAAAGGCCCAATCTAGTGCCTAGCAATGTAAATGTACATGTTCACATTCTTCTAGTTTGTTTAGTCAGTCATATTTCATAATAATTGTGAAGGGAAATAACTTCAGAAATTGTGTATAAAATATTGATAATAAAAGCAGAACTAAAGGGATGGATGACTGTGCAGAAAGAAGAAGAGACTAAAAGCAGGAACGAGTCTATTCTCAGTGATTAAAGGGAGAGGTACGTGAAGAAATGTTGATTTGGGTAGAAGGTGCTTTTTTGGGGGTGGTTTGTTTTCAAATGAGCTAAGTCAGAGCCAGCCATCCAGTGTCTGTTGAGTCTCAGAAGTATGAAGGCCATGTGACATTTGTTCTGAAAGCATGAGAACCCATATTCTACCTTGCCATATGGCTTTGGAGATCCATGTACAAGGACATTAGCAAAAACCTCTGTCCTGAGCAGCCTGATAAGTGCAAAGAAAGATTGAAGTGTCTTGATTGTTCAGAGAACTCTGCAGTTCTGCCTAATGTTCTCTGCCCTGTGCTGGCTGGTGATCATGTTCCTCCTCCTATTTCTGTTCATCTCTTTACTTCATGCCTGTTGGCTCATTCTTGTACCCTGCTGCATGTCCCTTATCCCACTTGTTTAATGACTCCTAAATAACCTTTTCCAAAAAGGCAGTAAAGCCATGAAGAGCGATGCTCGTGGCTATCGCCGTGTATGCTCTGCCTGGGTGTTTCAGCTGTAATGAATTTAAATAAAACGTTATGTGAATAATAACTCCACGGGCTGGTGAGCCTGGAGTTCTTCTCCAAGTCTAGGGGTTAAATGAGAGTTTCCCTGACCTGGTATTGTTAACTTTTAATAGTCCTAGAAGGAGAAAAACATTGATCTGTACCAACATGTATAACATCCAAGCCCTGTTACATTATATGGCAGTTAACCTAACATCCATTATTGTAATGGAGTAATTCATAAAATATTTATCTGTTAGCAAATTAAAAGCTAGAGGTGTAATAAGTGGCGATTGACAAGATTTTATGGAAAATATCATTCAAACAAACCTGATAATTTGTTGATGAAAGCAGCTGTGTGAATGTATTGTTAAAGCACTCATTAAATAGAGGAATTGGCTAATTGGTAGTCAGCAATGAATCTATATGTCTCTCCTCTGATTTCCAGGAGATTTCCAGCCTGTGTTTCTCCATGGCAGTGTTGAACTCTATTGCTAGTCTAGAATAGCAGTTTAATGTTTAAATACCTGATGTTAATTGTTGTGAATTGTCATGTCATTTCAGCTCTGACACTCCCTTAAGAAGGCTTACCAGTCTAGGTGAATTCATTGTATCCAGTATGAAAACAGCAAATAAGTGCTTGGTGTTTCATTAAAATCTGATTTTTACAAGCTAAAATAGATTCTAAAGAGAGACTGCAGAGTTAGACAAAAATAACGGAAGAGTAGTTTGAAGGCCATACTTGGCAGAACCCCTGTGGCTCTGGGGCTTATTTCTTCCCATTCATGTCTCAGACCCTCTCTTTGTTTCTGTTTGCGTAGGCTCATAGAAATGTTGGATGTTAGGGACCTCTGAAGGTCATCTACTCCAGGCTCCCACTTGAAGTGCCAGTGTCCCCAACACTAGATCAGGTCAGTCAAGGTTTCAGGTGACTCTTGGAAAAGGCCCAGGATGGCTATGCCACCCTGGAACCCCCTTTCCCCTCTGTATTGCATGGGATCTGCATAATCAAACTAAGGCCACATGGTGTGTGAGATGAAAGGAATAAAGAAAAGTGATGATGAATGGCAGATACAACCTGAGTGAGTAATGAAAAAGTAAGGAAGGGAGAAGCTTTGAAAACGTGGATCGTGAAAGACAGACTTCAAGTCCTCTGCTGCTCTTAGTGTCATTGAGGAATGCCTCCTTGAACGTGTGTCTGCTTTTAAGACAAGCAGCTATTTCATCCGAAGTTTCAGCAGGAGCAAAAGCTTGGAAAGACTAATACCTGTTTAGTTGTAGCACGAGTTTTTATGCAAGCAGGAGCCTTGTGTCTCTCTGTCATTTCTGCTGTATTAGTTAAACCCAAGAAGTAATGCTAACTTTGCCGTGAAAGTGTCAGAACCTAAAGCTGCTTTATCTGCATGAAGGTTTTTGCAGGATGGAACTGGTAATAGAGCAGATCAGAATATTTATTATGAGAAACTAATTTATACTCTCACAAGTAGCTCCATTATTCTAGGGAGTAACAAGAGGAACTCATTGCAACCCATAGGTTAGGAACTTGTTTTTTTCTACTGGAGAAACTGTTAAAATAAAGTATAACAAAGTCGTAGCAAATGTGTGTGTGAGGGTTCCTATTAAATATCAAACTTGAGTCAAGTGATTGATTTACAGCTTGAAGGTTATCTTTACAATAAAAAGAGACATAAGCTTATGTGTTTTTAATTAAAGCTTGGGTTAGATGTAATAGAGCTTGAATTTCTGACACAAGATCTCTGACAGAAGGTGTAAGTCATGCAGAGACCATCAAAGTTTCTAAATTTTGAATATTTTGTCTTCTAATATCTTAAATTTTTATATTTCCAATGAAAGTCATTTGAAGTAGTCCTTAGGAATCTCTGTGTTCTAGAACAGCGTTGATTTTGACTTCCGTGTTCATGAAAAAAATGAGATGTTTTTCTGAAAGTCTTAAAATACTTCTGAATATTTCATCCATTTAAAAGTATTTGTTTAACCTCATTTTTACATTTTCAGATTTTTCTGAGATAGAAATACAAAATTATTGGTGAACACTTGCAGGCTGTTGTCAAAATTGTCTTTGGGGACTGTTTAAAAGCATTTCAGACATAGTCTATGTTGTACTTTGCTCCGTTGTCTTGGAGTAAATGGCAAAAATGAAGCATGTTCCAGCTTTCTAAGCAGAAACAGAGTTTTGAAGACTAATGTTAGTTTAGTAAAAAGCCCTCTTTATGCCATTCTCACCTCCAGTGATTCTTTTGCAATTCATTTTCAAGGTGGAATTGTTTTTTAAGGCTGCTTTAGTGACATTAGCCTTCTTATGCCATATGCAACATTAGATAGCCTTCTGTGTTTCTTAAAATGTTGACAAATATTCCTTTTTACAAAACATTGTATGGTATCTAGGTTACAAACGGTATCAAGTTAATGTCGATGAAACAGCCTTGATTCTCAGACTACGTTTGGTTTCTTAATATTGCTAACTCAGCACCTAATTGGTTTGGTTTCTTCTGAATTTGTACAGATTTGACTCAGAAGTAACTTCTTCAGAGGGGTTATGATTAATTTACTTTAACCTAATCATGTTTTCTGTTAGTTAACTTGAGGTGACATAAGAGCTGTGGTCAGTAGGCTTTTCATTGTCCAGAGGAACTATTTCCTGATTTACATACTAAAGGTTTTGACAGTATTCAGTCTCTCACCTGAAAGTACGTTTATTTTTCACTTAAAATGTGGGTTTTTTACAGGTTCTTGAAAGTTTGTGGCTCTGAACTAGTACGTCTCGAGTTGTCTTGTGGCCATTTCCTGAATGAAACATGCTTGGAGGTCATTACTGAAATGTGTCCAAATCTTCAGGAATTAAATCTCTCATCATGTGATAAAATACCACCTCAGGCTTTCAACCATATAGCCAAAGTGGGCAGCCTAAAGCGTCTCATTCTCTACCGAACAAAAGTGGAGGTAGGAACAAGTATTTTTAACCTTTGCAATAAATACCTTCAATCCTGGTAAAATTTTATTTTTTTCATTAATGAAGAAGTGAATTAGAATTTCGCATGTAAATTCAGAAAATCCAAAAGTAGTTTCAAAAACCACAGGATTTTTTTTATTTTTAAAATAGCTTTTGGATTTAATAAAAATTAATAAAAAGCCTGGATGTTTTAACTTGCATGGAAGATCCCTGACTTTTCACCAGCTGTTTTGAGCAATGTAGTGACATCACAAATGTGAAAGCTTTTCTCTTGTTTTGAAGTGTACTCCAGACAGACTGTATTTGGCAGTATAATTGGGAAATTATCATGTTTAGTAACTTAACTGTAATTCTCAACATTTTCTGCCTTAGAATTACTTACTAATTACTAGGTTCCTACTGTCTTTGTGTATTAGCAGTACTTGAGAGATGGATTTTTTTTTTTTAAATACTTTCATTTAGAGTGTAAAAATTACTTCTTTATACAAGTACTCAACTTCCCAAATCATGGTTATTATTGTTTGGTTAAACACATTTCTTATCTAAGATGGAATGGTTTTACATTCTACAGTTGAGGAGACTGTTGTAGTTTACTACATTTTACCAATGTTGTATTCTAGTAAATTCAGCAGTTTGAATCAGAAGCAATTCCATTCCTTCTCACTAGCTACGTTACTCATGTATTAAAGCCTTACTACTCTGGTTTACATGGAAGCTCTCCTACTTGTTGTGGTTCTCTTGTTGCAAAAGCTACTGCTTAGCAGAGCTCCAAAATGTCGGGGGGAATATGTCTCTGCATTTTGTTTCTAGCTCTTAGTTCTAAGTTAATAATTTTAAGAAGAGTTTGTGTGTGTTATTCCTGCTTGTGGTTTTGGTACACAGAAGTGGGGTTATGACACTGGATTATGTAGGGTGTTAAGCTGTCGTGTACTAGAAGAACTGAAGCTAGAACAGTAGGTTCTGTCTACTAGATGTCTAAGGGGCATCTCAAATCATAGTACCTTATTTCATTTATAAACAGTTCACACCGAACATACATGCTACAAAGTCAGTTGCATCTTACTGTCCTTTTTTTGGTGTCCAACGTCTAGCTGGCTGTCTGTAGTGGCGGTTTGGTAATGCAAGGTAGCTGGATTAAAGGGTAGGCTATCTGGGTGGTTTACGTTTTCACCATGAAGCCAGTGCCTCTCAGTAACTTGTTACTTTGTGGTAGTTACTCTGTGTATTGAAGCAATTATTATTTTCTTCAAACTAAAAAATAATTTGGTGAGCCCTGCTTTGAAGTGCCTTTTGTATAGAGCTGAATTGGTGCCTTGGGTGTATCTGTTCTGTTTGTATCTCACTAGACTTTCTGTAAATCTTGGATAAATCTCCTTACCTCGTTTTGAGCGTGTGCTCTGTACTTCACAAGGCTTTTTCAGATCCAAGAAAGATGATTGTATCAGAAGTAAAGATTGTATAACTTTATTTTTTTTTCTACTGTTGGTTGATCATGATCTGCTTGATTCTACTCGGGTAACTTTTAAAGTTTAAGACTTTGTCATGGTGCAGCAGCTGAGATATACTCTGAAAACGTTTGGTAACTGTCTCATTTCTCAGCTATCACTTTACTGACTAGAGCTTGCAATTAGACTGAATATAGGTATTAAAGATTTCCTGACCTTGAAGCCCTTAAACTGTGAAGATTCATTTCTGCCTCTCATATGTATAGACATACATCTGCTTGTAGCTCAGAACATAGGTTCATAATCAAGCTTACTTAAGATTGTGCTTCTATTTTACACATAAGTGTAAACATAAAGCACTGTTCCTAACAAATGATGGAAGAGAAATTTCTAGAAATTTAAATAGGTAAATTGGAGAGGATACTTCTGTGTTAACTTGTTAATATAAAGCCACTTAACAATATACATTGTTCATCACAGGTGGAAAAGTAAAAGGGAAAGAATGAAGATGTAGCATATGATGAATTAGAGGATTAGAGTTACAAAAGATTTATAACATTACCTTTCTTGCCATTACCTTCTCTTAATGCAAATCCTTGTTTTTCTATGCAAAATAGGCTGCTGTTCCTTCTGTACTCTTCAGCTGGTACGGAGATGTTTAGTAGTTGGTGTCTAGCCACAAAAAAGACAGGATAGATAAATTTATGAAGCATGCTCTGGAGTGACTTAGACTTCTCTAAAGCTTATCAAAGAACTGTAATATAGTAGTGTTCTTGATTTTTCTGAAGTTTCTGCTACTACTGGTTCTTCATTGTTGGAGCTTCTAAGGAGCAAACAATGGAACAAAGCTAATGTTTCATCAAGAGCTTGGTGTTGTATTGGTGCCAGCTGGACCTGCTCAGGGAAAGGAGTCTGAGGCCATGAATCCACTAAGGAAAACTGATAACTGATAACAAGTACATGGTTATTAAGAGAAAGTAAGTAAGAAGGTGAGAAGAACAGAGCTGATACATGTATTACAGTCCTCTGTAAAAGTTCTGTCTCAAAATCCAGAAAAAAAGAAACCAAACCCAAAATCTGTTTATTCCATTTAGATCACTCTTTTCCTAAATAAATCAGTGGTTTGCTTTTTTTTTCTTAAAAATAAGCCAAAGACCAAACAAAATAAAGCACCAAGTCTCTTGATCTAAATTTTCTTCTCTCATTGTATTCTAGAATGGTAAAGGTAAAACTCTTACCGTAATTATCAATGTGTTGTCATTTTTTGTGACAGAAGGATGGCATCCCTGTTCATCCTATGTTAACTGCCTAGATGTAAAAATGGGGTGATGTGCTTCTGATATTACTGGAGATTTTGAGGTAATCACCAAGATGTGAAGAGGGAATGAAAATGCAGAGAACAAGTAGGTAAAAAGTTGACGAAAATAAGTTCTCTGATGCAGTATCATGATTTTCTTTGTGTGTATCTTACTGCACGATTAGAGGCAGTCACGGGAATTGAAGTGTAGTAAAATTAGATCAAATGAGGATGGAGACCGCGTTTTATGCTTGTAAACAGTCTGATGAATTTATTGTTATGGTTGATCAAGGTAAACACTTGAGTTACTTAAGCAAAGTGATCGTATTTTTAAAAAGGGGCAAAACTAAAGAGTACAAGAAAAGCAAAGTAGGGCTTAATGCTCTAATTGGCTTTTAAAGGAGGGCCACTCTCTGCATCTTATTTGTGATGCCAGTGAAAAAGGGGTCATTTTCCAACTCCACAGTTGTCATTCTCTGTTGAAAATGCAATGTTGTGTTAGAGCACATCTGGATACATAGTACAATTTGTTCTTTTGGTTGTGAATTTGGGCATGTAAATAAATAACATAGGATATGGGATGAAGAGTCTCCATCCTTTTTGTCAGTCTGTGATAAAGCTGTTTCTCTTTTTACATGATGCTTTATAGAGTACAGTATTAACGTTTTCATAAAAGAAATGGTGTTTTGATTAAATGAAAACACATTCCCATGTACCTGCCCAGGTGTAGGATTTCCTTATTCGGATTACATCTTGCAGTACTCTTTCCTTTTTGTTTTGTTTTGTTCATTGTTTTTTGTTTTGATTTTTCATGCTTAAAACAAAAAAAAAAAACGCTTTTAACATTTACATTTAAAGTATTTGTTGTACTTTTTCTGTTTATATACTGTGAAGCTAATGGATGAATTCTAAGAAAATACTCCAGAAAATTGACTGCTGTTAATGGGTTTTATATGTTGGGCACAGAAAACCAGATCTTGAGGAAAATGGAATCTTAATAAAATTGACAACATATATAATCATCTGAGCAATTGTTATGACGGTTTCTTATTATTTTAGCAGTTTTATTTGAATAGTTTTGTATTTAAATATATTCCCATTGTCTCCATAGTCAAAGCTCCGATTTTTAAGTGTATGTTTTTAGTGAAATGGGCAATTCTGGTATTCTGCCGCTTACTGCACAGTGCTGCTAGTTTGGAAGATAACGGTACCATCTGGAGGAGTTTATGGTCGTTGGTCCTAACCCCGCTGATTGCTGAGGCCATATGTAATGTTATTTCCTTGGCTTACTGAATGAAAGTTTCTTTGTACAAAATCGATTTCAAACCTCTGAATTGAAGCTTCCAACACCCTTGAACTACTCCAACCTCTCTGTTACAAAAATGAAAGTCCAATGACTTTGAGTAACTTGTTCCAGGCCAAAAAAGGAAAAAAAAAAAAAAAAAATTGTCCTGTATCGTTATACTCCTCCCCAATAAATGCAACTCCTTTTCCCAGTGCTTTAAGTTTGTTATTAAAAGTTTCATTCTTAAAGGTTGTTTAATTATGTATGTGCTTGAAATAATTTGTAACTTGCTTTGAAAAACTAATCTCAACATTTTTATAAATGTAATTTCTGCTGGCTCAAGACCCCTGTTATACTGGTGGAATTTTTGTACTGGTGGTTTTGGTATTTACTGATACATGACTCCTCAATACTTATTCATTGAGAGTGTATTCATAGCATAATTTAAGCACTCATTGGCATTGATACATTTGAAGAATACAACGAACAATGGAGGTATTATTCTATACAGTAATTGACAATACGCATCTTTTAAGGTTTGAGTATGAATATTATCTTGATTTAATGTTTATCATGAAGTATTCCATCCATATAAATAATGCAGCCGAAATTATATTTTAAAGAAACCAAAGCCACAATTACAGTAGGAGAATTTGACAGTCTCATTATTGCTGGGTGTAAATTTTAATGGAAGATTATATGTTTCATGTTGCATGATATCCTAGATTCTTTATAATGTGTGAAGAAAATTTTTTTTGAGTTTTTGAAATTTGTATTACAATTATAATTGAAATGCAATGTGAACTAAATTTAAATAAAATTGCAGTGGACAAAGGACTTTGTTTTGCACGCATTTTCAAACAAGTCAAACATTAGCTCTGATGCCTTTAACCAAGAGCAGATTTGGAACTTGGGCAGTTGTAAGAGAGGACACTGGAAATCTTAGATACCAAGAAGAAGTAT